GAAATTTTCTACATACGAAATGGGCTGTGGAACAGATTAATTTCGTAAATAGAGGTACCACTGTACTATAAAATGGTAAAATACTAAAATAATATATTTACTAAAAACAACCGCCTTCTTTGTTCTCTCTAGGACTCTTCCAGCACAACTCTGCCAGAAGTTGACCATAGAGTTGTGCTTGAAAACCTCGAAGTTCCTAGAGAAAACACTTCTCTAGGCATTTTTAGGTCCTCCAGTGTGATTCTATGGACAACTTCTGGCAGATGTTAACTATAGAGTTGCACTGGAGCACTGGGAGATTTCTAGAGAAAAAACTTATTTAGGGCCTTTGCAGACTGCTAGAAATAGTGCAAATTGAGTCTACTTTAAGGGTTAGGGTTAGGGAATCATGGGAACGGTATTTTATTGTGGCACCAGAGCTCTCTGACAGAGAAGGCTCAATGTCTCAGAAAAAAAAAAAAAACAGTTCCCATGATTCTCTAGCACTAACCCTAACCCTAAAAGTGGACTCAATTTGCACTATTTCTGGCAGTCTGCAAAGGCCTTTAGTTATTTGTAGGTCCTCCACTGTGAGTTTATAGTCAACTTTTGGCAGATGTTGACCCTAGAGTTGCACTGGAGGACCTAGAGATTCCTAGAGAAAACACTTCTCTAGGCATTCGTAGGTCCTCCAACATGATTCTGTGGTTAACTTCTGATAGATGTTGACCACAGAGTTGCACTGGAGGACCTGGAGATTCCTAGACAGGTGTTCTTTCAGGTACAAAAAAACCCAAAACAACCCCCTCCCCCACAAAAAACACAAATAACCAGTGAGGTTTCTATATGTGTTTTTCCACTTTCACAGAGGGTCCTGCAGCCTCTAATGGCAGTGAATATGGAGAGCCCACTGTACTTACTTAATTCCCCAAATAAAATAATTTAAATATTATTCCCAAATAAACTAATTTGTGGGGGATCTGTTCTGGGTACATGCACCATTTAATTTAATGGAGCTTGCCCCTCTGTGAATGATCAAGACTGCAGACTTCAAGTCCACGAAAACGAAGGCGCGACTGTATTTTAATGTACCAATTGTGATAGTTTTATGCCAGATCATATTCTACATAGTTAGATTTTATGTTCCTAAAGTAACAGAGTGACTTTCAATCTGTAAAAGGTACTAATGTTGCATTTTTTCAATTTTTCCGAAAATTTCCATTCCTCCCCGAAAAACAGGGGGAAACTATTTTTCTCCATGGCTTCAAAATTTCCAGAAATGTTACATCTCTAGACATGCTTAATCACTCAGTCGCCATCTTGTACATTTAGTAGTGCTTGGCAATGATGTTTATTTTCCCTGAGAAAATAGATTCGAAGGTTCTGCAATTCCATGGACTGTTGGGAAAGAGGGCCTCCTTGGTGGATGCTCTCAGCCTATGGAACTCCCTATTTTAAGTTAAATTCATTAATTATTTGAACCCAGCTACCGGAGAAAGATAGGAATTCTAATCAAAACAAAGAGACCAACAGCCCAGTGATGTCTGGTACAGACAAATTAAAATTTTATTTAGTGTCAGGAGTGGAGAGTTGATAAGACCTTTCCAAAATCCACAGATTTCTTCCCAAATTTGGCAGAAAGAGCTTGAAATTAAAAACATTTGCTCCTGTATGAGGTATAGGGGTGTCTTTGCCATGTTGTTGGCCAATTTTCTTAACATAAAAAACCTAGCTAAACTTTTGCAAAAAGATCTCTTCCAGGGTTTCAATAGCCACCAAAAAACATGGCAAATATGCCCTCAACACTGTCTAGAAGGCATTAGGGGGCTATATATATACAGGGGGGCAGTGCAGTTGTGACCCTGCAATTGCAATATAGCAATAGCAAGAACATTTCTATATGGCTTATCAGTGCACTTAAGCACTCCCTAAGTGGTTTACAATGTCTAAGCCAATTGCCCCCAACAAGCTGGGTACTCATTGTAGCGACCTCAGAAGGATGCAAGCCTGAGTCGACCCTGAGCCCCTGGCTGGTATTGAGCTCACAACCTTGTAGCTTGTGGGTGAGTAGCTGCAGTAAAGGCCTTTAACCACTGCACCATCAGGGCTCCAGGGCTGCAACAACGTCTGGGAGGCTAATGTGGTTGCCTGGCTTTCCATCATTGCTCACCCCAGGTGCAAAAGCCTCCAAAATGCTGTGCAAGTGAGGGGGTGTGCCTATGCAAATGAAGCAGCAGGAGCTCTTCCCCCCATCCACCAAAGCCAAAGCCAGTTTTCCTGGACTGCCACTAGAGGGCAGCCAAGACCCAAGGGGCTACAGAAGGAGGAGGAAGAGGACGAATCCCGGAATGGTGAGCGCAAAGAGGGCTGTGATGGGACCCCTAAGGGCTTCTGCACCGGAACAGGTCGAAGTGGAGATCCTATCATGCTGAGCCTGTACCTCCTGGATTCTGGCGTCACATTCCTCCCTGGGGACAGAAACCATTGGTTAATTAAGAGCACAATAGAATCATTGAACCATAGAGTTGGAAGGCTAGCAGGGCTCTTGATATCCACTGGGATTTGGTTCCAGGACACATACACACCCTCCATGGATACCAAAATGTGTGGCATAGTGTTTTGAGCATTGGACTATGACTCTGAAGACCAGGGTTTGAATCCCTGCTGAGCCATAGTAGCTCACCTTGGTTAAGTCACACTCTCTCAGCTTCAGGGGAAAACCATGGCAAACCCCCTCTGAACAAAACTGGCTAAGAAAACCCCCAAGATAGGTTTGCCTTAGGGTCACCATAAGTCAGAAACAACATGAAGGCA